TCTGCGCATAGGGCCCTCAGCTGGTGGACGTGGCCAAGGATTTTGGGGCAACCGAGGCGGGGCCCCGTCCCGTCACTGTCAGGCCCTGGGCTGTGGGTGGTGGGGTCCACACCAAGGCCCCACCTGCTAGGGCACGGGTGCCCTCCTTCCCTCCCGCCCGGCCCACAGCAAGGCGGCTCGGAGTTCGTGCCCGTGGTGGTGAGCCGCTCGGTGCTGCGCACCATGAGCCGCCGGGACGTCCTCATCAAGCGCTGGCCCCCGCCCCTGAAGTGGCAGGACCTCCGCCCCCTCGGAGTTTGTGCCCGTGGTGGTGAGCCGCTCGGTGCTGCGCACCATGAGCCGCCGGGACGTCCTCATCAAGCGCTGGCCCCCGCCCCTGAAGTGGCAGTACTGCCGCTCGCTGCTGCCCGACGCCTCCATCACCATGTGCCCCTCCTGCTTCCAGGTACGGTGTGCCCCAGCTCGCTCCTGCTCTCAGATGCCCTCTAAGGGGGGGGGTCACGGGAGCTCCCCAGAGCCAAGGCCCCACCAGGGCTCCAGCCGGGAGGAGAGGCGGCTCTCCTGTCCACAGCCCCTCACTGCGGGCTGCGTGCTGTCCCCACCTGCCAGAATCGGGCCTGGGGCAGGCAGGACGTGCCCTGGAGCTTCACCCAGAAATGGGCCTCAGGCCGGACCCTGCCCTCAGCCAAGGCCCTGCAGGCCTGGTGTTTCCGGCCTTGGTAGCAGGTCAGGCCGGCCGATGGCACGGGCCCGGGGTCACGGCCGTGTCCCCTCAGATGTTCCACTCGGAGGATTACGAGCTGCTGGTGCTGCAGCACACCTGCTGCCCCTACTGCCGCAGGCCCATCGACGACCCCGGCCCCTGAGCCCGGCGCTGCGCGGAAGGGGTTAACGGCGGCCAGCCTCCTGCCCAGATGAAGCCCGCGCTTCAGGGAGGGGCTCGTGTCCCCACGGGTTCCTATTTATGGCACTCCGCGCCTTGTCAATAGCACCAGGAGATGGGGAGGAGAATGTACATATATTTTCTAAGAAAAAAAATCTGTTAGTTGTAGCGCGGCTCCGAGCGTTCGCGGCAGCCTGCTGGAGTCCGCAGAGCTGTCAGACCGTCAGCGTGTGCACTTGGCCGACAGATTGCCTCAATAATGACAAATAAAAGGGCTACTTATTTTCATCAGTGTCTGCGTTTCAGCAAATCTTCATATTGTCTGCAACTTAATTTCCTTATGCAAAAGTGCACCTGTTTCTAATTTGATCCAAGAGGAACATTACATTTGCGTGGTCTTAAACTTAATCTAATCGAAATGGCAACGTGGGAAGGGATAAGGGGGCTGGCGGGTTTTTTTTGTTTGTTTGTTTTGTTTATTTATTTTGGTTTAATGGGGTTTTGTCTTGACAAGAAAATTAGATACCTGGCTCCAGGAGGAACCAGGGTCTGCGTGCGACAGCTCGCTCAAGGCCCCTCCAGGCCTTCCGGAGCCCTGCCTCCACTTCCTGGTGGGAACGGCCCACCGTCTTCCACAGCTGCAGGGAGGGCCCAGCCCAGCTGACACCTTCCCTTGCCCTGCCGGCACCTGAAGCAAGGGCTTGCACTGCCCAAGCCCAGGGCCCTCGCTGAGCCTGTTCGCTGTTCGAGGCCCATGGTGGGGAAGGGCGCCCTGCACTACCTGACACTCTGCACCTGCCCCCTTGGCTGTGTGTTCCCCTCACCGGCCTGCAAAGGGGGCGCTCAGGAAGGACCATGCTTTCCACTTTACAGCCTGGGGAAGGAGGGGGTGCCCGCCATCAGCCCTCCCCCCACCCAGGGCGTTGTCATCCACTGCTCCCTGCAAAGCCCGGGCGGCTGAGTCTAGGACCTGAAGGACGTGGACGGCCAGGGACCGTGGGGAAGACCACCCCTCAGTACCCATAAGCTCGTCCTTGTCTGCCAGGTGGGCAGGCGGGACCGCTGTGCCCACCCAGGTGTGAGCCCCACCCGGGACCCCACCCACCCAGGCCAGCCCTCCTCTCAGCCCCTCTCCTTGGAGACGACGGAGGAAATGAAGAAAGGGAGCCAGACAGTTGTGCCAACAGAACTCCTCCGTCGAGCGTCTAATTACTTACGATCGCGCACGCTCGCTCTCGCTAAACATTTATTAATGTGTTAGGGTTTCCATTAGCGCGTTGCTTGAGCTGAAATCATTTGCATATGGCTGGGAAAAGAGGGGAGAGGGAGAAAACTCCACTACCCAACAGGCGTCAATCACAGTGACAGATCAGATGGTCCCTGGCTAGAGGCAGGGGGGGGGGGCCAGCCTGCGCCTCTCGCCCCCGGGACGTCCCGCCACGAGGGTCCAGCCTCGTTCGGCATCCGCAAACGTGGCGCCATGGTGAGTCTGTGACAAGGAGGGCGTACGGGAACCTGGGGGTACCCCTCTAATGGGACCGGCCCAAGGCTGCCCAGCCCGGAGTGGTTCAGGCAGGCTCAGCCTGCCCCTCATATC